GACTACCCACTGACATCCTGGTAGAGAGTCTTCACCAGATGAACAGTCTTTACCAAGGAATGCAAAATCCCAATCAGATGGTGATTTGTATCTCAAACCAGCCTTAATGAGTATTTAACTTGTTAAGAATGTTTGCATTACAATAGATTAATTAGCCATATACAAACCTTTGTGTTTTCCTGTCATTAATTTCTTTAACTTCTTGTATAGTTTTAATTTTTGTTTATTTTTAGCTTTTAAAATGTTTTAACCTTATGTATTTTATATTTTTTAACTTTTAAAATTCCTAATTGTGTTTTATTTTTTTTATGCTGGTCTATGACCATAATAAAGATTTAATGGATTGATTGATTGATACTTTGAATTGTATTAAAAACTTACTGGCAACAAATGGAGCACCTGCAATGTACAGTATGTTTTCTGGTGAATTATTCTTGCTCATCAGCAAGTAGCTGCATTTAGAATCAGTTGCATTTACTGGAGTTTTTAAACTCCAAGCCAAGTGGAACACAAGATTGTCTCCTTGGCAGCTGAAAGAAACAGAAGGTAGAGGAACCCAACCCTGAGTTGGGTTCATACTATTACTTAGCTCATACTACGTATATATATCCGCACTATATATATGTATATATCCGTGATGGCAAACCTATGGCACATGTGGGGCGGGGGCAGGTTTGTGCATGCATCCGTGGGGATGGGGGGTCATGCACACATGTGGAGGGTAGGGGTCATGTGCATGTGGGGGGGAGCATGGGGGGGTCATGCCTCCCACAACCCATTTTTGGTTTCAGGAGGCTGCAGGGAGACCTGCTAGGCCCAAAACAGGCCACAGGGAGTGTGGCGTCCCCACCGTGCCCCGTTTTTGTTCTCAGGAGGCTTTAGGAAGGCCTCCTAGGGCTGGGCCCAAAACAGGGCACAGGCAGGTTCCCGCATGCACAAGGCAATCTTATATGTGGAGGAAGGGTGGGTCATGTGCACATGCACAGGGGTGCACATTGCATTATGGCTGTGGGCATGCTCACCTACACTGTTGCATGCATGCACATGATTTCAGCACACGAGAAAAAGGGTTAGCCATCACTGCTAAATATTACTTCTATTAAGGGATTACTGTCAACTTGTCAAATTTGAAAGTTTCAACAGAGTCCCATATGCAGGATGTTGGCCCATGTTCCTCATTAGTGCCTGACTATGATGTGTCTACTTCTAAGTGAATATGAACAAATTTATCCACAAAATCTTTTGTAAACTTGCGTATAGGGTATAAACTTGTATAAAGACTGCATAAACCTGTGGTTCATTTCCCATCAATGACTGGATCACCTTAAATAGTGCCACAATTCAATATTGCATGGTTTTAGTAATAACACAGAAGTACTAGCAGTTAGCAATAGCAATAGCAGTTAGACTTATATACTGCTTCATAGGGCTTTCAGCCCTCTCTTAGCGGTTTACAGAGTCAGCATATTGCCCCCACAGTCTGGGTCCTCATTTTACCCACCTCGGAAGGATGGAAGGCTGAGTCAACCTTGAGCCGGTGACATTTGAACCGCCGAACTGCAGCTAACAATGAGCTAAAGTGGCCTGCAGTATTGCACTCTAACCACTGCACCATCTCGGCTCCAAGTACTGAGCTTCACCATCCTTCTTATCACAGTGTACATTCAGATCTGGGCTTGTACTTGTGATCCTATTCAGTTATTGGTAAATAGATATTTATTATGTTGGTTTATCTGCCAAAACTGCTCTGGGTATCCTAAATCTGAGGCCAGAGAGAAACTATTTGGCTTATTCTACTAGCACCTTTCCCTATTTAATATTCCAAAAATCAACCAGGTATACCTAGAATTTCTCATCAGATTAGAAACTCCCCAACCATGACTGGAAAACAATTTGATTCAAAACAATTTTCCCCTTGTGAAGTTGGCAATCACCATCAGCTATCCAAAAATCAATCAAGACTTAAAAACATAAATCCTGTCAGGGAGCATTCATTTAGACATCAGAATATGACATTTTGCATTTATCCAGGCAAGCACTATTTTGGAACAAGCTCAGTGGAAAATGATGGTCTTTTGATCTGTCATCAAGGATTGTTAAAAAACAAAGAATTCAATCATGTTTATGTCACTGCTAGATGACACGGTTATAACACCCTGGAAGCATCAAACAGACTCTAGTCAACTGTTCAAACATTCTTCTGTTATAAGGCCTCAAAGAGCTTTTTCACCGTTATCTCTGCAAGAATAACAAGGACTATTCTTTTAGTAGATTTCCTTAAGCACAAAAAATCCTGTAAATTCACACATAAAAGCTACCAATCCCAAAATTGGAAGGGGTGATTGCGGATAAAATATAACAATCAGTTTCTCCTCAACAGCTGCATTCCAAAATGGTAAGATAGTGCATATATTGGTGTGAGATTACATTATACCACAACATAAGGCTTAATAAATTGGTATTTTTGTATTTGAATTTATTAGCCATCCATCTTAAATGGGCCTTAATATATAGTTTGATAATTACTATATTGTGCATTATATCCTTATGTATCTAATATTTATTTTCATGAATCAAATTATTTCTATTCTCTAATGAATTTTATCTCATGGTTTTTTCTCCTGTGTATGTGCACCAATCTATTCACTGTTCACTCAGCAGGTAGAAACCCAGGTCCATTAGCGTGTCCATCAAAGCAGGTAGAAACCCAGGTCCATTACTTGTCCATGTCGACTGCTACCCTGAAACCCCCTGTCTACTATGTAACTTATTGCTTTGGATAGGGAGATGGGTGGTATATAAATTTAATAACCAAATAAAAAAGAAATAAATCCCATAGAATACTATGGTTCTTGATAATCCTTAAAAAGTGGAGCTAGAAGAGATTATTGTATTATTGTGTAGTATCCTGAATTTAGCCACTAGATGCTGGATTCTTTTAGTCTCACTGAAATACTAAAAATATCACGGATTTGTTGGAGGCTCAGGTTTTTAATTAACTCTGAGTTATCAATCAGTCTGTTATTTGCACTGTCTCCATACTATATGTCTACTAAACAGAAGACATTGTCCCATGGGGACTGTTCTGAATGGCTGCCTTTGGCTCCATACTACCAAATGGAAAACAAATGACAAAATATTAGCAATTTACTATTAAAGAAATCCTTAAGGGGTGCCCATACATACTGAATGCCATTTTGAATATATCTGTGTAATTATGTGTTAGAATGAAAGACCATAAGCAGCATACATTTCAAGTTCTTTTTTTTTTAAAGCACGTGGCTACACAGAATAGGTGCACAATATTTGCCTAAGAACCTTCCATCTTTGAATAGATAGCTTTTAGCTTCTGTAGTTGTTGCCATGGAAGCTATAAAGGACTTCAAATAAAGAGCTATGTGCTAAAATCTTGTTTCTGGTGTTTTGTTTAAACTGATTATGAATCATAAATATTGTTTCAATGTTTTCTGTTCTAGAATAATGAAAGTCAAACTGTTTGACCATATTCATTGGAAATTTAAATTTTTAAAAAAATCATTTTTCTCAGACACTATTTAATACCCACAGCATACCGGATGCAGGGAGATAACCCCTAAGAGAAGTAGATTTCAGCCTTTGAAAAATAAAAATAAATCAGTGCACAGTATAGAAGACTGACAGGAAAATGAGGTCACCTACTGAATTTTTCATGTATTCAAGTCCAGGGAAATCTGAGATTTATATAAAGCAGTGAGATCATTATTTGCATCAGAACTCAATAACAAAGGAGGGGGGGTAACGTGAAAAGAAATGTTGACTATCCAAATGTCTTAATTAGCATGATGGAATCTGCTTTCCTTTTTTTTTTATTACAGGGACTGTGAAGAATTTACATTGAAATAAAGAAGTATTTTAGGTTGTACATTTATTCCAATGAAAGCTTCCGACTATGCAACTGTACTTAGCTTTTCAGCCTAAACAGTTTGTGTTTTGATGACGTTTAAAGGATGGGCCCCGAGAGAGATGAAAATGTCAGCATTCTTCTTTTTTTGATGACGGACAATACCTCTTGGCTGTTTGCAAGTAACTGGACGAATAAGTTTCCTCTCCGCTGGAGAAAAAAATAATAATCCTCAGGCATGCAAAAATTAACATTAAAAAGTGCTCTTTTCGTAAGCTTGTTTTATAAAAAGGGATATTCAAAAGAACTTTCTGTCTGAAATGGTGCAGACCCAAAAAGCCTCCCTTAGAAAGGCTACATTATGAATAAAGCCTGAGCTTTTCCAAGAGAGCCTTGACTTAATGTCCTCAAAGAAAAGGACAATCAATGCTATGTGCTGCACCGTCATGTCCCTTCATAGTGATTTGCACACAAAGCTTGTCTTACATTAGGGAAAATAATGTCCCAACCTCAAAAAGTTAATATTTGCAGGAGATTAACTTTCTTTCCAGAGAAATACAATCAATGTAGAATAACAAATGGTTAAATTCATCCATTCATTATATATCAACTGAGGCTTACATGGTATAATTTACTGTTCTATCCAAGAAAGCATAATCACTTGGGCAAGTCCTGAAAAATCCATATTATCTCCATTTGCTTATTAAGTGCAGTTCAGCAAATAACAGCTGCGATTTGGCAGGGATTTGGAAAGTTATAATGCTTTAGAATTTGAAGCTTTCTGCTCTGCATTGCAGATCTATTGGTTTGGGATGGGATGCTGAAAAATCTAGTTTTTTTATAGCATATTATTTAGGAGCGGAAGTTTTTTTTTTAAAAAAAAAATTCTGTGCATCTTTTCACAACTATCAGATGCCCCTCTACTCAGCCTCCACATTTCCAGATTTTACATCATTGCTATAGGCGCAGGATTGTCTTTAGTTTAATAAAATTCCACTGTTGTCTGTGATTCTGAGAGTATTTTAAACAGCTAAGTTCTTGGGTGCTATGACAACTGCTGCAGCATAAGAGCATTGCACAGAATAACAGTCTGACAGCAGCGGAAGTGTGCGCAGAGAAGCTGGTTGCAGCTGATTGAGTTGAATAGGACTCCTTCTCTGACTATGAGGGAATAGGAGTGCCTCTTTAATAGCTCTTAGCAACGCCCCTGCTTTGACCCTACTCGACTGAGAGGGAAATCAAATCAATACAACCCCCTCCGAACCACAATGCTTCCACAGCAGCAGCACCACGACCAGCAGAGCATCACAGCTGCCTTTGTCTCGTCTTAAATTTGATCAAGATTTCTTCCTTTGATTTGGATTCGGGTTTTGGATATAGTTAATTGCTGAAAAAAATCTTCACGTGCCTCGCTGAAGGGATCTTCTAAATTGTTCTGTAGGAATGCTTTTTATACTTCTGGCTTTGGTGGCTTGCTTTTTGTTCATTAAAGAGAGAACTTTGAATTTGCAACGTTAATCTGAAATACAATTAGCAACTTCTAATGCTGATGGAATTGTATGTGGAAATTTAAAATATGCACTGTAATAGCAAACATTCACAAACTCTTACCATCGTGAGAGCTTGTTTTGGAATGCTTTTTTTTTTTAAAAAAGGCTCACTCCCCTTTTTAAAGATGTTTTGATGTTATCTTTATCTTTAGTAAGATGTTTAATAATAGTTGATAGGTAATTCGTAGCTTTTAAAGGTTAATGTGTTTTTTTTTTCCTCCTTTCTTCCTAGAGATGGCCAATAGAGGACCAAGCTATGGCTTAAGCCGAGAAGTTCAAGAAAAGATTGAACAAAAATATGATCTAGAACTGGAAAGTCGTTTAGTGGATTGGATTATTATACAATGTGGTGAAAATATAGAGCACCCCCCTCCTGGAAAACAACATTTTCAGAAATGGCTAATGGATGGAATAGTAAGTAATAATCTGATATTACATCTATAAATGTAACATTTTTGAATAATATCATTTGTTCCTAAATTTCTATCATTTCAAAAATATATCAGATAATCAATTAACTTTTGCATGCATTCCTGACCTCATTAGGTAGCATGTCCTATAAAATCAATAAGTAACAAAGTAATATTTCAGAGATTACAAAGTACATTTGATTTGTTTAATTTAAGAGCAATTATTATCTCCATCTGTAAACTGCCTTTCTCTAGACTCCAATAAACTAATTCAAACATAGAAGGTGATTGCTCTTATGAGCAGAGGACAGTATGAAAAACAGTGTATAGAGCTGTACAGAGACAGATGGAGCAGTGGTTATGCAATATGAGGAATATAAATTACAATTTTTGATAGTTAATTACAGCTCCTTTACAACCCTGAGCTTTTCCCTAGTAGTATTATCTTCCTTAAAAATGGGCTAGTTATGTTTATGAAATGCCACAATTCTGTTTTTTTTTCAAGGAATAAGCAATTCTAAGTCTTTAAGTGATAATTTATTCATTTACTGAAAGAGTGGCACAAAGGTGCTTTCATTTGCCAAACACTTGGCAAAATTATTAAATGTAGTGATTGTGTTTTTATCAGCTTACTACTTGATACTACTTACACTTGAGCTCAAGCTGTGTTTTGCTCTCCCATGTGACTATCAATTGTTATATAATCTGAAGTGAATAATTTGATTTTGCCTGCTTCATTACAGCAATGTATGTTTTATCTGTGGAAAGGGAAGCTTTGCCAAGCATTTTAATGCCTTTGGCTCAAATGCATCCATAATAAATGCTGTCAGTAGCATACACTTACGTTTGTATTATGTATTTCATTTGAAGGGCAGGGAGCCAGGAGACACTTTCTAAGTGGCATTAGGATATCTATGTTATCAACAGAGTAATATACACACACTGTGTTGCCTTTAGTTGGTGGAATTAATTGATTTTGTCTCTTTCAATTCTGCTTTTAATGGTCAATCTCCCAGCTGCTCTGCAAGTTAATAAACAATCTTCATCCCAAGGGAAAAGAACCTATTGCAAGAATCACAGAATCAAAGATGGCTTTCAAACAAATGGAACAAATTTCTCAGTTCTTGAAAGCTGCAGAAAACTATGGAGTACGAACAACAGATATCTTCCAGACAGTAGATTTATGGGAAGGTATAAACCTATTTATAAATAAAGGTGTTTTTTTTAAATTGTAACACTGTTTAACCTGCTATTCACTATATAGTTCTTTATGGAGAAAATTCCCAAATGCCATTACAATTATTTCTAATTTGGATTGCCTTTAAGCACTGTTCTCTCCAGTAATGCCTTATTTTCTCTTGAAACCTATATTGATGCAAGTCTTAATGAAATATTTTGTACTTATAGCCAAGTGAAAGATATGGTGTGTTTTTTTTACAGAAGCACATCAAAACTAAGCAAATAGAAGTTATATTATAGCAAATATTTCATCAAAATAAGAAGTTTTGATTTTAAGGATGGTGAAATATAATTAGCTTTCATTTAAATGTAAACCTAAACCAGTTTGCATTTTCTATATTTAGCTTGGAACAAAGTTAGTATGTATACTAACAATACTTGCTGAATTTCATTATCTAATTTTAACCTACATGTATGGGAAACATGCACAGAAATTTTAAAATGTACATATTAGGAAAAAGTCCAAACAGAAATTAATTGTATTAGTGGAACCCATTCTCTAAATCAATACATTAAAAAAGATACATATAGAAAGAGTATACTTGGAGAAATTTGTTTAAAACCTTGTGAAATTTGGTTGGGGACATTCCAGTGGTGGGTTTCAATTTTTTTTTGAACCTCTTCTGTAGGTGTGGCCTGTTTTGTGGGAGTGGCTTGCCAGTCATGTGACTGGGTGGGAGTGGCTTGCTGGCCATGTGACCGGGTAGGAGTGGCTTGCCGGCCATGTGACTGGGTGGGCATGGCCAACTTGTAAAATGTGGTGAA